AGCAGGCATCACTGCTAGCCTCAGCGCAACTCTCGAGAAGACAGAAAACTATCTATCTGCTCTGTAGTGTGGCAATAGTTGAACAGCCACTGCAGGGGATGGAAAAGACACCACATAGCACAGGATGCCTTCCTAAATATTTGGGGGGTTTTAGACAGCTCCCCTCCCACCTTGTCTCACCAGGTAGGAGACTGAAATCTTAACTGCATGGCAGATGAAGCAAGTGCAGCAGCAGAGCAGCCTGGAAGAGGAGCTGCCCTGTGTCTTCTTGGGAGTGAACTATTTGGGTTGCCTTGGAGGAGAATAGCTGCAGGGCTTCCTATAGCTTAGACGCTAGTTTGGGAGAACTCAGCTTTTCACATGGCATCAGTGGTCCAGCCTCAACAAAGGGAGATCAGCTGTACAAAAAGAAGGGCCTGTCCTTCTCATCATTAAAGCATCCCTACTCCTGCTAGAGGTACTTCAACGTGCAGAGTCTAGGGAACAACGTTTTTATTCAATAAGCCCGGTAACAAAATATGTGCAAGGCCTACCAGGAGCATCTGTGATATTCTCATGAACCTACCCAATAAATCAAAGCAAGTAAGATTCAAGTTTCCCCAAAGCTGCTGTGTCACACAAAACTATGGACAATAATTTGACTCCTACTTTTCGGTTATTCTATGAGCTTTCCTTACAAACAGGAGACCTCAGCCCCCAGGGTGAACAAACATCTCAGAGCATGAGTAGTTCTCTTACCTATGTCTTGCTCAATGGACACTTTGTCATCACACTTCACTATGTGATCACCAAGGTCAGCTTTAGGAACTAGATGGCGAGCATTGAAGGGGCACGTGGCCAATTCCTTTGCAACTTCAGGATAGCTCTAAACAAGGGAAAACCAACATCATGTGCCATATCTCTCAAAGTTCACTTATCTTTTGCTAATCCATAGAAAAAAAAGCCAAGGATATTTGTGAAGTTGCCTTTAAAAAAAAAAAACACTAAACAAAGAATGGCAATATATTGTTCAGACACTTACTAAAAATGCAAGGGGAAACTAACATGATTGTTCTTTAAAACACAGTTTACTGAGAAACTGAGCCACCCTTGAGTTGATTGAAACGAAACACATCCTCACCTAAACTCCCTACAATTTGCTGCAACACTGGCAATATAGCTGCCTAGTTTAAAGCACAGATTAAACTGTTTTTAAAACAATAGGGGAGAGATGTTAGGCAAATCTAAACCATTTTGAGATTTTTTTTTTTTTTTAAATAAGCAGGAACAAAGGCAGAGAAATTCCTTAAAACTTTCAAAACAGCTAGGGAGTTGGTAGCATTCCACTGCAGACTTTGGTGCTACAGAATTACCATCTGAGTAAAACTTTATCACAGACACAGGTTTTAGTGGCAGTGCTCAGCTGTCACTATAATAAATGAGTCCACCTCCTGCAAATGATACAGCCTTTACTGGGAAAAGCACAACTTTGCCACCATACCAGTGCCTGCCTGGTTCTGGCTGACGCAGCTCTGGTGGGCAGGGATCAGACTCGCACCTGAGGCAGAGGCAGAAGTGCCTTGTACAGACCCTGCTCGAGGCACTGTCTGCAGCACAGGCTGCAGGCACATCCAAGGCAGCTGTCATCACCTGGTCTGTACAGGCAGGGTTCCTATGTCCTGTTCTGTTCATCATTTGCTTCAACTAGCTTGAGCAAGCTATTCTGGCCACATAGGAGAAGCTTCTCAATGCTAATGCAGTTCAAGCTGAGAGGATTCAACTTGGTCTGCTTGCAGTGTTCCCATTTGTGTGGCAGGGCTACATTCCGCACAAAGCAATGGGAAGCTGAGGCAGGTGGAAGCATTTAATTGGATTTTATGCAGAAGGTACACAAAGGAAATTCAACAAACTACCAAGCAAGAGGGACAGTCTCTGCCCAGATGCTTGCCACTGCAAATAAACACACAGTGGCACCTTCAGATATCTCAGATGATAACCCCCAAGCCCTTCTTCTGCTAATTACTTACAGACACCAACTGCATGTGATTGGTGATCGCTATCTGACCTCATCCTCCTAACCAGGTAAGCTTACCAAAACTCTCTGGCCATCAGTTATGCAACACAAGTACAAAATCAACAGGGTTAAAAGTTTACTTGCCAACATTGTTCATCTAGCTCACGTGCACATTCTTGCCAAAATTTGCAGAGGGTCAACAAGGAAAATTTCAGCCCTCTTGAATGTTGAAAAGATGGAGGTACTTGCCACTTAGCGCTGCCCTCCACTTTCACTAGTTACTTAACATTTTTTATGGCTCTAGTTGAACTAAAATGAATTGTTTATAAGTACTGATACCAGGACATACAGCTTACAACTGCATCTTAACTGGAAGGCACAGCACTGTTACACTACTTTAAAAATACATTGGCAAATGTATCGGTAAACTTAAAGAGAAATGATTGGGTTTTAAAAGGTCTCAGGAAAAACCCAAAGCTCAGTTGGATGCTAACACTTGACAGGTTTGAAGAAAACAAACCATGAGGACAACAGAGGAGAATAGAGGAAGGAATGCTTCCTATGAAATGATTTATATTCAAATTCTGGATAAAAGATGGAGAGGGGAAAAAACCTCTCCCATGTATGCTGAGCCCAGGATGTGCGGTTTCTGCCAGACACACATTAAATAGCTATTAGCAAAACAAAACAAAAAACACCCTGCTATGCAGCTGCATTTCCAGCACTTAAAGAATGAATTGCAAGATCACAACATTTCTACTCTGACTAGCCAGAAAAGATGCACATAATTCAGACGGAGTTCTCTCTTCAATTTAAAGGGGAAAAATGCATCTGACCTCCATGTGAGCCCAGAATTTCCTCCCTGACTTAACCATGAAGAATCTCTATCTGCTTTCAACAGAGCCACACTGCTCTTAGCTGAATTAACATGTGCTCGAAGCTATGACTAAACAAATAATAAAGTTTTATGGAATAAAGGCTAAGCAAGGCTATTTGTCAGGAGCTTACTCCAGGCAGCCAGAAAATGTAACAAGAATGAGAACACGCGCATCATACTTACATGCACAGAATTACTCCCATTCAGTGCCTTGTTTGGCAGTGCAGCTTACCTTCCTACACTTTACAAGGTGATACGGAAACCGACAGGCTCTGATTCGATGATGTTTATTATATGGACATTGTATCAACCTCTCTGGATCCAGAGGATCTAGTAGAAAGGAAGAACAGAGAGAAAATAAATAGTTAGAAAGACAAGATCTAGCAATACTAACAAAGTGAAGTGGGGAGAAGAAAAAAAAACAACATACAACCACATCAGGGCTCTGATCTTAGGGAGTGAAACCAGTTGCTCTTAGTTTGAAACCATTCATTAAGGCAGGCACTTGCTTTGCATAACCAAATTCATTTTGAAGTTTGCAGTGACTGGGATGTTAGTTAACACAGACAGCGAACAGTCAGTAGCCCTGAGCATAATAACTCTTTAAGTGACCATATTAGGTAGGTAACCACACTTACTCAAAGTGAATGAAGACAGCAGTACTCTTCCAGCTATCTTAGAGGAGAATCAGTGGGATGATGACTCATCACCAGTGCCTTCATGAGCATCGTCAGTCTGGACCAAATCTTTTTTGATCAACAGCTAGTTTTGCCGAAGGAAGAATGCCAGGCAATTTATTTTCATGTCTGAGGAAGCAATGTGCCTAACATGGCACACATGACTTCTAAATGAAATTTTTCATAAGTCATGCAATTATTTAGGAGCTGAGGAGTTACTAAACCAGCCAAAACACCTAAGAATCTAGGTACTGAACAGTAAAGCAGCATAAGTGCATGCATACATGATAAAAATTTTTTATCTATGTATAAATAAAATATATTGAAATAT